CCCCCCTATAACACTGTTGATAATTCCGTTTTATATGAATTCCATGTTGTACGAGTTACTTAGATTTTAGAAATACGTCAGCCGTTCACAGCCCGGCACACGTATTTGTAAAATCTAAGTGACTCGTACAACATGGAATTCATATAAAACGGAATTATCAACAGTGTTATAGGGGGGGTCGACTTGTATACAGTTTTCTAAAGTCGAATCAAAACGGCTAACATGAAAGAATCTGTAAAGGTACTGTATAAATGCTCTAGTCACGAATATGATAAATGTACCTATGTTCTGACATTAGAAAGTACGGAGTTCCGGTTTGTGTAGAGTTACAATATTAATGCAGAGGTAAGCAAAAATGCCAAAGAGTTGTCAAAATGTTACAGAAACTTTATCGCATATGCCGTATACGTGAATACGCAAAATCGGGAACATATCAGGAGAGTTTGATAATCGCCGCCAGGTCAACTCTTGCATTGCTAACTAGGGAGGTACAGTCTAGACAAAAAAGTGCGCCTGGATCACTTAATAGATTGTGGCGTTCTCTCATTGGCTCGACCGCAAAACCACTCTGCTTGCTACCGTCCCAGGACTTTAAGGAACCTGTTTCGTGTACGGCATATATATATATATATACATGTATATATAAAAACTGATTCTGTACTGACGACCTAGTCACATACAGGTCCGGTCATATACTTTCTCTATTCGTGAGTTAAACGTGACATTTTACAACCTTTCTCTCTACTTCGTCACACACGTATTCAAATTGTTCCCAGGAACGGTGTCATTTTACTTATATTAAAAATAAAAAAATAAAAAAATGGCGCCAAAATTTCCTTAACGGTTTCGTTTTTTTGCCAATGGCAACTGTTGGAGAATCTTTCGTTTTCGTTTTTTTTTTTTTTTTATATTGGAGTTCTTTTAGAATCGTGTAGTGTGTTGAAAGGGTATAATTTATGTAATTTATAAGCGTTACGATGAGTCCGCGAGAGTATAGCCAAGTTATATCGGAAATGTCTGCTACACAACTACGTCTCAGAAATTATCGCCAGTAATCGATGGTCCCTCTCTCTCTCTCTCTCCACGCGCGAATAGGGAAGAGAGCCTTATCGTTACAAGATATACCTGAACTATAGTTTCCAACTTGTTTCGGGCCATTCATTCTATTAACCTCCGTTCCTCTCAGCTCCCCAGCCTTGTATATCGCATACCAAAGGTCTCTGGCGTACAGAAATCCATCTCCCGTATCTGACGCGACGTTCCACTGCGTAACAGTCTGGCAGACTGAAATGTCACATACCACGTGATCGTTGTAAGGATTTCTACATTTAACTGTTGTTTGTCTGTTTGTGAACACACATACTATGCTACAACATCCGAAATTACACGAAAGAAATATATTCGTAAGTCACAAATGCTAGAGAACCTCCGACAAATCCGCGATATTTTACTGACATCGCCGGCAACCGGAATGATCTATACGTTATATCGTTCTATCCCACGTACTGTACGAATCTAGTGTATAACGGGCATCTTTACTCGTAAATGAACGTATATACCATAAAAACTGAGCGGTCAATTTGTAATATTAAGAAATGTAAATGGTTAAAAAATCTCGTAAGAGGATGATGAGATCCCAATCATGTCGTCCCACTTTACACTTCACACTCATTCTCTAAATTACCATTTTGTTAATATATTATATAGAAAATAACTAGAAAATAAAGCGAAAGAAACTAATTTTTTTTTCGATAGCGATCTTATATATTATTATAGGTAAAAAGAGTTTTAATTCTTGGTTATTCTTATAAGGTTTCGTGCCATATATACAAATTATAGACGGCAAGACACAAACGACGTTACGCTCTATAATAATAATTAACACTACACAGCTATTGTAATTTACAACTGGATAGCAAGTTGATGAGGAACTGAAACAGACTACTTTCAATAGGTTAAGCGGGACTTCTCCATAATAGGGATCGACGCCATAACTCTTCTCCATTACAGGATCTTGCGTATAGTTTTAAATGACGTAAATACATTTAAGATTAGACATTTTACACGGTAACTAAATAGAAAATAAAGTGTGGAACAGGCCCCCACCCCGTCTGGCCTAGCTTCTAGTCGAGCATCTAGCCTGGCAGACAGTGTATCTGTCATGGATCGCAACACATAGCATACACACACACTTACCTTGACAAAGAGCATCGAGGATGTTAGCTAACTCGTATATGCTTATATTAACCACCGGTATTTATTATATATATCCAGAGTTTCGATGGTAAAAGTGTTGGACTGTAGAGACAGTTAAGATATGACGCACTACGGAGAATGCACAGACCGATTTTCCAACTACTCGTCTGTTGAAGGCGCATGCTCTTAGCAGGGTTGTAGTCTGTGTGACGCTCATTGGTTGTCTTTCACCCCTAGTGCTTGCCTCCCTCGGAGTGAGAGAGAGAGAGAGAGAGAGAGAGCACCCACGCTTTGGAAAGCTGCCAGCTACGACAGTTATGGCAGATTGGGTTGGGCGCGAGTGTATTTGTGTCGGTGGTTTCTACTTTAAAATGTCTGGATAAACGGTGTCGAGTTTTGGTAGAGATGACCGCAAAACGGTCGCCGTCAATGGTGATTGGATCGAATTCTTATCTATCTCTCTCTCACATACACAACACTCTCTCTCTCTCTCTGTTTTGGACGGGACCGTATTAAATACCACAACGCCATATTGGTGACTGTAAGTACTTAACGATTTATATTCTCTCCATTTGCTTTATTTTTCTTCGACTAATGAGATCTCTATTCGTCACGCTAGCATCTGGAACAGCTGATGATGAAAAGTATCGAAAATTTATGTAAATTATGGGCCATGCTTTTCACTTTTTTTTACGATCGATCCTCACCTAGTCGTATATTTTCCCTACCGGTTTCTATAATAGTCAAAAATTAAACACTCGAAATTTAAGCTGTTTCGTTCTTTGCCGTCGTAGAAAGGACTGATTGATAAAGCTGTATAACTTCTATGTATCTGCAGTCAAAGGTCAAGAGGTTCGTCCTCAGCTAAGGAGGCATTTTTCTTCTTTCTTTCTTTTTTTCTATCCTTCGATGTGATGAGACCGTATCATATAACAAATTAACAAAACAGATACTAGTGTGCTGATTAAAATAGTTACTTTAAAAATTGAATTTTTCAGTAAACACTACTCTAAATTTGGTCTTAACTATACGTGCATGGATACATATTCAAGGACGATGTTTTTCTATTAATTGAAACTCTACACCCGTTAATATATTACATGTTTTTCGCAACTGGTGCGTGCAGTTAAGCTATTATTTCGGTTAATATAGGACCTAGCTAAATTTAAGTGAGATTAAAATAGAAAATTGTTTTGTACTAGGTAAGATTAGCTTGAAAGAAAGAAGGAAAAAAAATAGTAGAAACATGCTACTGTATTCGATTAATTAGAATTATTTATAGTATGGAGGTAATCTAAAAACTTCTACGGATTGTACTGGGAGTAATTATAATTTTGAAACCTTCCCAAACTTCTCTTGAATTAGCATCATAGATTTAAAAATGATTTATTCTGTTTGTGTAAATTTAAATCATTGCTATTTTTAATTTTTGCATTAAAAAAAAAAAACTCGAAAAGAAAACATTTTAAAGTATTAAAAATTGATCACTCGGCCACGTTCGGGTGAGCTTATTCATTATTAAACTATTAATTTACCATGCCAGTTTTCTCAATTAATGGTTTTAATTTCCCATCTGCAATTTTTTTTAATGGAATAAATTTACAAAAATAACCTCGAAAATTTATTCTTCTTGTATATATTTTTTTCATTTTTCTTCTGTAAAATATTAACATTTAGCTATTAATGATGTTAAATTATTCATTGATTTGTTGATGACCTATATATCTTGACATCTTTGGTCACTCTTGTCATTCAATAAAATCTAAACTTATTTGTGACAGATCGAAATATTTCGGAAACCTCATCAATATTGAATGTTTTTTAGAATGTTATCAGAGACTACACCCTTGTTTTTGCTGTTTAACTTTCATCCTGGCTAATCTTTATCAATGACAAGTGACACTTCTTATCTACCTTAATATATGTCCCTAGTCCAATGGGCTGTCATCTTCATAGCCTCCAGTCTATGCAATCGCTATGACATCCTTGGGATTTTGGCAGTAATCTGCTTGATAATTTCCGTAAAAACTTTATTTTTTCTTGTGAAAAATCCTTGATAAATGACTGACTGAGTTTTTATTAGCATTATATCAATGCTAAAATAAATATATTGCATCTGACTTCCAATTTTCTATAAAAGTTTTACTTTTTTTTTGTATATTTTTTTTTTAAATTCCAGGTTTAATTTTTTTATATATATATATATAAATAATCTTTTGTTCTTTGTATCGATTTATCATTCTTTTATAGCGATTGATGAAACGAACTGTAAAGTCCAAGGATAAATACGTGAATTATTAGTCATTAATCTGTGTTCTGATTTTGTAACG